TTCTTCTTAGGTGCTCATATGGTTGGATTATACGGAGAGATCCTCCTATTTATCTTCTTTATTGTACTGATATCAGGTATGTTGCACCAGTTTCTTATGCCTTTGAACTATTAGTGTCATTTCTTACCTGCTCCTCTTAGATTTTCAATTTTGCCCATTAAAATGGTTTAAAATATGGTCTACTCATGAAATTTTAAGCCATCTTCTGAGACACCACATTTCTAACGCTTCACTGCGGTTTAACAATCTTACTTTAAGTGATCAGGTCATTTTAGGACGCAAATAAGGTGACCCTAATGAGTTTTGCGCTGACAATAGCCCAGAGAAATAAACTTTTTTTCGTGAAACTGATCCGGCCAGGCAAAAGACAGTTGTTTTGAGTAGTATGGACCTCTATAACAAGAACTTTATATGTTTCCTGCAGTCGATTTTCTGGACTTAATTAGTTATTAATAAATTCGGGTCAAAAGTGGTAATTTTTTTCCTTTTTTGTCTATCAGCAAAACGTAAAGCATTTTAAACAAATGAAGATCTAAAAGCAACAACGGTATAAGCCACAATCTTACTAAAAATGAGTAATATCTATTTTTCAAAAATGGTTAGGTTCCTATCTACCTACAAAATAAAAACTACAGGTTTTGCTTCATAGATGACTCCTATATCCTTGTTACTTTTATACTGAAATCAACTATTTTAAATGCTACAACGGTACTAGCCACCATATTTTTATAATGGCCGCTTTAAATAGTCGAACAGCTCACAAAATTAGTTTTATTATGAAGATTCTGAGAGTGATTCTGATTCGTATTTTTTTTATGATGATGATAGTGTTAAAGATAAAGACTATTGAAAGTAATAGTGATAGTGAACACTCTTCAGGTAGTGAAGCACAGGTGAGTAATTAAAATTTATAGCTTATCCCCTTTTTAAGTAAAATTATTGTGGCTTAAATTTTCTTTTTTTATTTGTAATAAACAATGTTAATATCATTTTCTAATGCTAAAATACCATAGCTACCTACTACTGCTTTCGTAATATTAATAAAAAAAATCATCCTTGCTTTGTATGTTATAATATCGATTTAACGTCGAGTTGTGGCTTATCCCCTTATTGTCTTAAAAATTATTACAAAACTTTTATGCTAGTCCCAGGATTGTAACACTATTTTTGTTTTCAGGCAAATGAATTTTCTGCTGCTACCGAAACAAAATCTATTTGCTTGACAGACGAGGTTCTGTTTCTGCTCCGGAGAAAGCCCTTTCTTCAAGATAGTTTGTCTTTTAAGGATTTACAGATCCAAGAAAACGCAAACAGAAAATAAAGAAAAGCTTAATTTCACGATTGTTAGTAACATTTATAAAAACCGAAGTTTCTGACTTATTTTGCAACTTTCTAAGCAATAAATATGGATAAAAACATTTGAAGACATTATTACTATTAAATTTTTTTCAAATTTTTCACTTTTTGCTGATAGACGAAACAAGTTAAAAATACTGTTCTTTGACCTTAATTTCTTAATAACTAATTAAGTCAAAACATCGAGTGCAGGAAACATATAGGTTCTTGTTATATAGGTCCATACTACTCAAAACAACTGTCGTTTGCCGGGTTCAGTGTCACAAACAGGGAACATTTTTTGCTTAATCCCCTGGCCTACAAAGTTCGTTATTATATTAAATCTAACAAAAGTCCTTCTAGTTATTGCTACTAGTATCTTCACTTCTGGGTAAAAAACTGGGTAAAAAACTAAACAAAGAAGAAACTAAAATAGGAGATTTCGGGTATGGTCAGAGAAATGATAGAGGTGATACTTTGATGAACTACCTAGAAGAAAAACATCTATACGCAATGAACTCCTTTTACAAAAAGAAGCCCCAACGAAAGTGGACATGGATCAGCACTAATGGATCCACAAAAAATGAGATCGACTTCATACTGTCCACGGAACGATATATCATTAAAGATGTAACAGTTCTTAACAGATTCACAACAGGTAGCGATCACAGGATGGTCAGAGCAAAAATTAGTATTGACGGTAACTATGAGAGGAAAAGAAAAATAAGTAGAAACTGGAATCTAGTAGATAGAAACAAACTAGGTCAATATAAAGAGATATACAAAGACCTATTAAAAGAACAACTTACCCAAAGATTCGACAGTGACGATAAAGATATAGACGAAATAGACAACATACTTACAGCAACAATGATTACATCAGGAAAAGAAATAGCAAAGAAGGATCTAAAAAAGAACAACTATATATATCAACAGAAACAAAGAAGCTTATGGATAAAAGAAGGAAGCTGAACGAAGAAGGCAAAAGGAAATCTATAGAATATGTAGAAATTAATAAAACAATAAGCAGAATGATAAAAGAAAATAAGAGAAAAGAACAAGAAATAAAAATAGAAGAAGTAATACAAAACAACAAAAATATGAAATGCTTAAGGCCGAAATTAGGTAAGTTTGAAATAAACAAAATAAAAGATGTAAATGGAATAGAAACAAACGTTAAAGATGACATCATAAATATAATCCACCATTTCTACTCAGAATTGTATAAAACAAAAAAGGAACCACCAGAAGAAATTAAAAACCAACTTAAGGTCAAAATAAAAAATGTCAACTCAGAGCTGCAGCCCGAAATAAGCAAATCAGAAATAAAGAAGGCATTGAAAGAAATGAAAAACAACAAATCGCCTGGAAAAGATGGAGTAACTACAGAGATGCTGAAATATGGTGGAAAAGTCGTAATTAATACTCTACATTCCCTTTTTAACAGGATATTAAAAGAAAAAAGAATCCCAAACAACTGGAAGGAATCAGTAACCATTATCCTACACAAGAAAGGGGATAAAGCAGATATAAAAAACTACCGTCCTATAACACTCCTCAATGTAATGTATAAACTCCTAACAAAAATTTTAACCAATAGATTGACGACAAAATTAGATGGATACCAGTCGAAAGAACAAGCTGGTTTTAGAAAGGGATTCAGCACAAGTGACCATTTACTAAGTATGAAAATACTTATAGAACGAGCAAATGAATACCACATTCCTCTATATATGGCGTTCATAGATTTCGAAAAGGCTTTCGACAGTGTCGAACATTGGGCAGTGAAAAGTTCTTCGATTAACAGCCGAATTGACCACAGATATACGGAACTAATAACCAATATATATATATATATATATATATATATATATATATATATATATATATATATATATATATATATATAAGGAAGCCAAAACAACAATTAAAGTATATGAAGGAACAAAATCATTACAAATAAGTAGAGGCGTGAGACAGGGTGATACAATATCACCGAAACTTTTCAATCAGGCTCTTGAAGATACTTTTAAAAGATTAGAATGGGAAAAAAAAGTTATAACAATTTGTGGACAACGCTTGAACCATCTAAGGTACGCTGATGACATCGTATTGATAACCGATAAAAAAGAAGAATTATTTGAAATGATGAAAGAACTGGACGTAAAAGCTGGAAAGATAGGCCTAATATGAATTACAGCAAGACCAAAACAAATACAGATGAAGACATCACAATGAGAATCGGACAAGATGAAATAGAACAAGTTAAGGATTATATATATCTTGGTCAAACTATAAAACTTAACAAAGAGAACCAAACAGCACAGATCAAGAGACGAGTTAGACTGGCATGGGCGGCATTTGGCAAACTAAGCTACATTCTTAAAAACAAAAGATATCCACAGCATCTTAAGACCAAAGTATATAATCAATGCGTACTCCCTGTTCTTACTTATGGTTCCCAAACGTGGACATTTACAAAAGCCAACATGGACAAAATCATAAAAACCCAAAGAGCAATGGAAAGACAAATGTTGCACATAAGACTAATGGATAAGAAGAGAAATGAGTGGATAAGAGCGAAAACAAAAGTGAGGGAGGTTAGACAAGAAGTTGCAAAATTGAAATGGAGATTTGCCGGACACAATATAAGACAAAAAGAAGACCGATGGAACAAAATTCTTATAAGTTGGAGACCGTGGGAATATAAACGAAGCAGAGGAAGGCCCCAAATGATATGGGCAGATGATATCAAGAAGTACGTGGGCTCTAGATGGATGACTGTAGCGACAGACAGAGAAGAATGGAAAAGGATTGGGGAGGCCTATGTCCAAAGATGGACCGAAGAAGGCTAATTAGATAGATAGATCTTCACTTCTGCATCGCAGTTCCACTTCGTGTTTAAGGTATCTCCAAGATATTTAAATTTCTCAATTCTGTCTATAAGGTGGTTGTTTATTTTCAACTGTGCTTGCATTTGGGATTATCTGCTACTACTACTATCGGTTTACAGCGTTCTCCGACGTCTTCCGACTTCTAACCGCCATTCTTCTCTATTTAGCCATAGGTCTGGAGGGATTTCTCTTTCTTCTAGTTCTTTTTCAATTCCCTCTCTCCAGCTTCTTCTCGGCCTTCCTCTTTTTCTTCTCCCTTGTGGTGTCCACGTCAAAATCTGTTTCGGAATCCTGTCATCTGGCATTCTCTGTACATGGCTGTACCATATTAACTGTTTTGTTTATATGTCATCAACTATTGTATGCTTGACTCCCATCATTTCTCGTATTCTCTCATTTGGTATCCGATCTCTTCTTGATTTACCTGCTGCTCTTCTCCAGAAGTCAATTTCTGTTGCTAGTAATGGAATTATCTGCTGATTATCATTAATATCGTTTTCATGATTTATTTACTATCTCTTGTAATTCTTTATGTTGTCTACTATAATAGCTGTATCATCAGCATATCGCAAAATATATTATATGTCCATTTACCTATGGGAACCAGCTAATTTAGTACAGATATACACCCATATATAATACAATAATTATGTACTACAAAATTCAAATGTTTAAAATAAATATACAATTTCCAATATCTTCCATAAATCATATTCATATTTACAGCATGTCCAAATACGGAATTCGAATTTTGAAACAAAATAAACTTACCTTGCTTTCTGACATCCACAAAGCCCCGCTTTGTTGTTTATCTATAATTTCTCTAACCTTACGGTACCATGTATCAGTATTATCGTTAAGAGTTACCATGGCACTAAATATATGGCCCCAGACTTTGTCTAGTTTCTGACATTGTTCCAAAAGTTTTTTTGAACTTTTATGAGCAGACCTACAAACATTTCATAAATCTAGTTACTCATGAACTGAGCAATACATATGTAAAAATAATAATAATATAAACAATGCTAATAAAAAAATATAATAATTCATATTACTTCTTGGTAGATTTGTTGAGTATAAAAGATGAGATCTGTTGAAAGATGAGTATAAAAAAATGCAGGCTTACATCAGAAGAAAAATAAGAGAAGCTAAAGAAAAAGAAGCTGTAAAGAAATGTAAAGAAATAGAAAGACTACAAGCCAAGCATGACAATTTTAATGTACACAAAAAGGTAAAAGAAATAACGGGTACTTTTAAAAAGCGAACAGAAATGAAACTCATAGACACCAATGGAAAATTAATCATTGACACCAAAGAGATGAAAGACAAATGGAGAATATATTTGGAGACACTTTTTCAAACGCAAAGAACGGATTATAGGCATCCATTTTCAGAGAGGATGACGGGCCCGGACATACTTAACTCCGAGGTAGAAGAAGCAATAAAACGGATGAAAAGCGGGAAAGCTGTGGGGCCTGATAATATCGAAGCTGAATTTTTAGAACTCTTGGAGGAAGAAGGAATAAATTGGATCACGGTTGTCTTCAATAAAATATACAATACAGGAATCATCCCTGATAAATGACTAGAATCAGAATTCATAGTGATACCTAAGTATCAATGCTGAATTCCATTCATATATTTAAATATATAATAAAAAAGTTGAAAGCAAAGATTGAACTTACTTAGGCAGACCTTGTCGAAGCTGCTTTATTACTATTTTCGTCTCAGCTTTGAAGAACACTACTATTGGATACATTTGAGCATAATTTAATCTTTCTACAGCATTAGGCGTTATGTCTAGCAATGCGTGTTTTCCAGTTGATATGGCGTCTCGAATGGCAGACAATCTGATGATATTTGCATTTGATAACGTTTTGCTAGATTTGCTATTTACATCAGATGCGTCTAATTCTAAAAGAAAAAAAAACATTGCGTCGTTTATATTTATAAACGTGTAATCAGTGGTGTCATGGCAAAATTAGCAGAGGCGGAACGCACTTTCCTTAATATCCACAAGGAATCTACGTTCCTGTAGTTGGCTGTATACCATGTATTAAAAATTTAATTAAAAATCCTTTGTAATAGGTATATTTTAGGCCCAAACGGGCTAAGTTAAAAAGACAAAACGTTTTCGGAAACCATGTTCCATCATCAGTGTCCTAGAAAATAGTTAACCACTTAATTAAAAAGAACATAGGTTAAAATTTTGACTAAGGTTAAAGAACAATGTGGTTAATACTTACTAGGAGTACATGAATGAAGCCACCAAGATTAAATATGTGGGTAAAAACCCGATTACATATGTTTAATTACATTTAGTTTTAAATTAATGTTTTAAATTACATTTAAAACTAAATGGGTAATTAAATATGTGGGTAATCGGGTTTTTACCCACATATTTAATCTTGGTGGCTTCATTCATGTACTCCTAGTAAGTATTAACCACATTGTTCTTTAACCTTAGTCAAAATTTTAACCTATGTTCTTTTTAATTAAGTGGTTAACTATTTTCTAGGACACTGATGATGGAACATGGTTTCCGAAAACGTTTTGTCTTTTTAACTTAGCCCGTTTGGGCCTAAAATATACCTATTACAAAGGATTTTTAATTACACTTTCCTTAACTTTTTTACAAGTCAAATATTACTCTCTGTTTTTTAAAACATTTACGTCTGCATTAGGCAGTAGAAAAGACTAGTGCGTTCTTCGTGCATTAGGCAGTAATAGGTCTACAACGATTCACCAGGAGGGCGGAGTAAATCGTTGTACTGTATCGAAATAGAGCGTTTTCTATAATCCGTGTTTATTTATAAAACCTAAATTCTCTATTTGTGTTTCTTTTGGTCATTAAAATAATGAGTGAAGTACGTATGTACAATAGGTTTTTCTATTATTGAAAGCCCTTTTGTGTTTTCCTATACGTTTGTTAAAGGCTCTACCCGTTTGACCGATGTAAGTTTATGGACACCTATTCTTAATATATTATTTGCATAAATTGTCGTTTGTTCTAAAAGCTGACGGTATTCCTTTATTTCATGTGTTTGACTATTGTTGTTGATATCTTGCCTATATATGTAATCGAGCAGATAATACTGGGTTTTTTTCTCTGGTGGTGACAAGACTAATTTCAGTGCTTTCTTAAGCAATTTTTTGTTTAAAATTGTGTTCATTGTGTGTTCGTTGTACTAATTGTTAAACCAAAAACTACATAAGAAATTCGTCTTCTCACCACCAGAGAAAAAACCCAATATCTTGCTTGTCACAATACACGCCAAATAAAGTTTTCCCCACTAAACTACAATATAGTTCGTAACAATAAAACACTGAAAACTTTTCAAACTTTCACAAAATTTATTTTAAATCTTATCACTACAGCTGTTTCGACTGATTGCCTTTCTCAAGTGATCTATTTTTGGCTTGGGTTTACAAATCTATAGTCTCTAATGAAATAGGTTGAGGAGGGGAGAACTGTTTGTCTCAAGTTGGTCATTCAGAATTATATCTGTGTTTTTTAATTTGTTGATTTCCTTAGATTCTAACAAAGATAGCTTAAGGCCTTTATTTTGAATGTGAAGAATTTTAAATTTGTCATTAAAAGAATGATTATGATTTAGAAGGTGAAGTGCATATGTCGAATCTGTTTTTCTATTCTTGAAAGCCCTTTTATGTTCTGCTATTCGTTTATCAAAGTTTCTACCAGTTTGACCGATGTAAGTTTTTGGGCAGTCGCCACATTGAAGTTTGTACACACCACTATTTAAGTGTTTTTTATTTTGGCTCTTGTTATTTTTAATATATTTGCCTAGGTTGTTATTTGTTCGGAAAGCTGGTGTTATTCCTTTCTTTTTTATGTGTTTGGCGATTTTTGTTGTTATTTTGCCTGTATATGTAATCGAGCAAAAGGTACTGGGTTTTTTCTCTGGTGGTGGAAATACTAATTTTAGGGCTTTCTTGTGTAGTTTTTGATTTTACATTTTATTAATTGTTTGTTCGTTGTATCCGTTGTTTACTGCTATTTGCTTAATTATATTTAATTCTGTCTCAAAGTTGTATTTTGATATAGGAATTTCTGTTAATCTATGTAACATACTATGATAAGATGCCAGTTTATGTTGTGTTGGATGGGATGATGAGTTGTGTATAGTCGTGTCAGTATGGGTAGGTTTATAAAATATGGAGAAGTCATGTTTGTTTTGAAATCTGCTAATTTTTAAATCTAAAAAAATTATGGATTACCTTAGAGGATTACCCATTATAAGTCCTGCACTGTTATTTGTATATATTTTATTATTAAATTCAACGTAGTCCTGGTTTATGCAAACTTCAAGAAGATGTAAAATTTCAGATGTAATTATTGGATTTGTACTATTTTGGTCTAAAAGGTTTTTTACTAGAATAAAAGTTTCTGTAGGAGGGATACTAGGAAAAAGATTTTTTACGCCAAATGAAATTAATCTTGAGTTGTTAGGTACTTGAAAATGTTGTATTTTATTAACTAGTTCTATTGTATTTTTTATGGTAAATTTAGGTGAAAATTTAGTGTGTTCTAAAATAATCTCTAACAGTTTTTTTGAACTTACTTTTTTGCCCAAAAACTTACATCGGTCAAACTGGTAGAAACTTTGATAAACGAATAGCAGAACATAAAAGGGGTGTCAAGAATAGAAAAACAGATTCGACATATGCACTTCACCTTCTAGATCATAATCATTCTTTTAATGACAAATTTAAAATTCTTCACATTCAAAATAAAGGCCTTAAGCTATCTTTGTTAGAATCTATGGAAATCAACAAATTAAAAAACACAGATACAATTCTGAATGACCAACTTGAGACAAACAGTTCTCCCCTCCTCAACCTATTTCATTAGAGACTATAAATTTGTAAACCTAAGCCAAAAATAGATCACTTGAGAATGGCAATCAGCCGAAACAGCTGTAGTGATAAGACTTTAAATAAATTTTGTGGAAGTTTGAAAACAAAGTTTTCAGTATTTTATTGTTACATAAAATGAATTTCCATCAAGTAACTGTCGAATACATCAATTACAATATAGTTCCACAACTTTCTTCTTTGAGGTATGTTTTTTTACTTTACACTTGAAATATTGATTGCATCTTCTATTTAAATCTAGGATAGCAAATTTCCAGGTTCTACCATTCTTGGTTTGTTTCCCAAGGATATTTGAAGAAACAACATTGTTATAAAGAACAATTACAACAATAAAGGAATCATAAGAGAACAACAATAATACACTATTTCTTTTATCTGATTATATTGACACAACTAAGATAATGAATGAGCATTTGATTGATATTACAATTCCAGTTGTGTTTTTTAAATCGTAAAATTAATTGGAAAACTTACGTGGCGATATAAACTTATCCGGAAAATCTTTAAGTAACTTGTCTCTAGCTACGTCCGCTATAGGTCCGAACATTATCACAGGTCTAGTAAAACCGGGGTGCTTTAAAATAACCCTTTCGTACGCCGGGAACTTCGATACAGTATCTGAAAAGAGTAGATCATCCCAATGTTCTTTGCCGAGACTTTTAGATCTTCGGTTTGAACTTCTTCGTCTCTTAAAGAAACTTCCTCTTGACTCATTCGCGGACATCTCTTTCTTGGTCGCATTGAACTGAGCGGTGGCCAGTTCTTCCGCACGGGATTTATTGGGAATTATGCCTTTTTGGACTTCTTGGTTGTTGCGGCCTTAAAAATAAAGCAAAATCAAATTAAATAAAATCGAAACGAATGAAATGGATTCAAATCGAATAAAATAAAATTAAAATAAATTAAGTTAAAAACCATGGCTTCGTGCATAGACGATAAGAAAACTATGCTTACCCTCCTCGGTCACTCACAGAGTGCCACATCCTATTTTTTTAGGCTTATGTATATATTTTAAACTTACCTATTCTAAACACCTGCCAGCATCCAACTACGCCATTATACAAGGTGTCTATCACGTGGAATATATCTCCAGATCTGAACGGCATTTCACCTTTGGCAGGACTTTCATAATGGAAATGTGTCTTTATATAAAAACTATCGCCCTTTTGCGAAGCTACTATACTATCGTATTCTTCTTTACAAAATTGCACTATTAACTCTATTCTGTCTTGAAGACTCAATAGAAACAGAACAGCCTCTTCTCTGGTCACCCCCGTCATGTCCATGTCGTTAACCTAAACATACAGATTACGTTAAAATGAAACACTTAGAGACCAAACATTTTAAGCATCAAGAATTAAAGAACACCTAATTTCAAGTAATATAGAGAAATATTTTAAAACCCTAGCAAATTATTAGTTAAATGTACATAACATACTGTTATATGGGTTATTCCACGAATATACGACTATTTTGGATTATTGCGACAACGAATATTTTACTGTACAAGTAGAAGTATGAAAGTAAATTGGTCCAATCATTATTCCAATAAAAAGGATCTACTAGTATGACATCTTTAGTATGACATCTAAAATTATTTCAGTTAATAGATGTTCAGATAGACGCAAAATTTATTGCGAAATTTAATCCGAAAATTTCAAAAAATTTTACACAAACGCTCCTACAAATAAATACAATGACGTCTATGAAGCCACGTGTGTTCATCAGATATATGGGTTGAGTTTCGGTGAAATGTAAACATCAAAGATGCGTGCCGGGTTTATTTGATATTCCATTATTTTATTACTTTATTAGGTACTACAACTATAATAAAAAGAAATATACTATTTGTAATATAAATGAAAAGAAATTGGCAGAACGATGGTTCAAAAACCGGAAAAATAATCTAATATTCCACTTTGTTAGTTTTAAAATATTTGTTTGCTTTGAGTGGATGTAACGAAAATTTACCTAGTTTCATATATCGCCGACTGATTTTAGTTTTAAAAACCGTCCGTATAGAGGTGTCCGGTGAAGAGAGGTGTCCGTAAAGAGAGAGTTTAGCGTAGTGTATTTGTTTATTGAAGCCAAAAATGCTGAGACGTGTTTTAGATGTAGACAACTTTATATTTAATGTACTTTCTTATTTTACTGCTGAGAAAACCAACGGGGGCCCTTTGCGACCAGTTCAACCCGTACATAAACGTGTGTGTATTATTGTACACTCTGTATTAGTGAATCAAAACTAAAGTCGGTTTTGCAAAAAGCAAAAAAAAGTGAACAAAATGTCGCACAATATAAATCTCGCTGACAACCAAAGACTACAGATCTTTCCGCAGGTTGCAAATTTGAAATCTGTGAGACAATATGTAGAATGCGCGAAAAGAAAGAACATGTTTCTTTAGATTCAGTGCTACAAAAATTAAAAGACAGAAATATATTTGAAATTTCCTGGAATTCCTGAAAATTGTAAGTCTCTGGAGAGTTTTAAGACAGATTGGCTTTAAGTTGAAAAAGGAAGACAATAAAAAGGCTTTGTGTGAAAGAGCTAGTGTCGTTCACAAAAGAATAGAATTTTTAAGAAATTATAACAGATTTAAAAAAGAATGTTCTTCTTTTGAATGATACAGAGGTTGCAGTGATGAGGCAGTCTTGGAAACATGGCAACAAGCATTGGATATGGCCACTCCTGAAATTTGGGAAAAAAGTGTAAAAAAATGTGAAGACTTAATTGAAGAATGGTGGATCCATGAAGGTCACATCGAAGCAGTTAATCCTGTTAAAATTTACCATCCGAATGAGGATAGCGACGACAGTGATTATGGGTGTGAATCTGATGGTTGATGATAGTTTTAGGAGATTACGAGAATAACGGAATAAGTAAGTTTTTTTGTTTTTTTAATACTAATTGAATATTCGACTAAATAAATTACACTATTTAATCACTTAAGCATTGTTACACTTCGTTTAAATCACTTAATCAAAAACCAATTTATTTACAATACTAAGCTCAATGATAGTAATTATATACTTTAATATCTGAATTACAGCTGTTCTATAAACTATAAACTCTATATTTATATCATGACTTCATATTTAAATATAGTGTTTATATCTGTCATCACAGTATTTTAAAAATGGGGACAATTTACTATTGTACAATTCAGCACATTGGACCATTTAAATCGATACCTTAAACCGAATTTAAAACAGTTGTATATTCGTGGAATGGAGTATACATATAATGCAAGATAGATTGACTGCTGCAATACAGTTGCGTTCCCCCAGAGCGACACAAGGCAGACTCTCTGTATATGTCTAATGATCTGGGTTTATCGACCACGTGACGTTCTCATTGGTCATTTAGGTTACATGGTCGATAAACCTGCCAAATTAAAAAGAGATGCTAGGACTGCGTCAGTTTTCTCTGTTTCACTGGGGGAACGACTGGTATTGCAACGATCAGCCTATCTTGTATTATATGTCTATGCTTTTAATACATAATTATTGATCTAAAAAATTGTTCAATTAATTTTACTTTGTATCGAGATGCAACTAAAAATTTCTTTGAACAAAATCATTCACAGCACGGTCGCAGTTCTTTGTTTACGCATCTCAGAGAAAAAGGAAAAGTTGTATTATGGTCAATTTTATATTTAAGTACATAATTATGAACATTTAAAGCAACATTAACAATTTTTAATAAAACAGTTTACCTTTAATATTTTATCACCAGGTTGTAGGCCTTGCAAAGAGGCGGGGCTACCAGGCTGGACGGCGGTTACGAAAATCCCCGCAAAATTACCACCAGTCAGTCTTATGCCTACAGATCCTTCTTTATGGAATGTAATGAATCTTGCATCAGGTCTAAAAATAATTTTAATTTTTAATTATAGAATCAGAAAAGAATTGTTAAATAATAAGAAAAAGCGCGAAAAAGCATGAACAACGTATGATTTCCATTCCGACGGCATATACATTGGCTAAGAAAGGCTAAGGAGGAATGGATGAACAAGGAATGCCAGGAACTGGAAGAACTCAACAAAAAACATGACACCTCAAACTTACATAAAAAAATGAAAGAACTTACAGGAACACCAGACAAAGAAGAACACTCATAAGAAGAGATAATAATTGAGGAATACTTACTGAAGAGAGCAAAGTAAAGGAAGTATGGGAACAATATATAATCCATCTGTTCCATGACGAGAGGGAAAATTAACAAGATATAGGTGAAGAAGAACAATACCTACAAATTTTACCCTCAGAAGTAAAGCATGTCCTACAGAATGCAAAACAAGAAAAAGCACCGGGTCCTGATCAAATTCCAGTTGAACTGTTAAAAACCTTAGATGACGGTAATATAAAGAGACTCACCCGAATTCTCAACCACATATATGTAGACGGACAACATCCCGGAGAAATGGCTTGAATCGATATTTTTACCTCTACCAAAAAACAACAATCCCAAATCATGTAATGACTATAGATTGATAAGCCTCTGATAAGCCAACCTTGGACACATACTGAGGAATGATAAATATCGTCTTCTGCAGGTCATCATGCAGGGTAGAGTCGATGGCAAAAAGGGAATAGGTAGAAAGAGGAAGTCATGCCTGCGAAATATTCGAGACTGAACAAATATGACTGTAGATGAATTATTCCATGTTGCAAAAGACAGAGAAACTTTTAGAAATGTGGTCGCCAACCTCCGTTAATGGGGACGGCATATGAAGAAGATACATTGGCTCAAGGATCGGAAGATAGTATCAGGTCAGTTGTACCTTTGAACAGGTTTGTGTTTATTTATTTTATAGTTATACTGTAGCATTTTTATCATGGGGCCAGCAAAACATTATCTGCAGTTGGACCATTTGGACTAGGAAACCGGAACGATCGAAGAGATACATTGGAGATTTTTGCGGAAGCAAATCTAAGAGAAACAAAAGACAGAACAATGTCAAGAACTAGAAGAGTGTCAGAGTCGATATGATAACTTCAATGTCCATAGAAAGGTGAAGGAAATAGCTGGAAAGTTCCGAAAACGCAACAGCGGAAAAATAAAAGATGATGAAGGCAATCTTGCCATAACCAAAGAAGATAAAAAGAAAGTATGGGAAGAATGCTTGGAGAAACTTTTCCACGACCTTAGAACAATGCAAGAACCCACCATTGAAGAAAATTCAGGTCACGAAATCCTACCAGAAGAAATAATGGCAGCCGTCAGACAAATGAAGGATGGAAAGGCACCGGGACTTGATAAAATTCCTGCAGAACTGCTGAAGCTATTAGATGCAGAACAAATAAAAATAATAACTGAACTATTTAATGAAATATACAAGGCAGGAAAATTACTTGTAGAGCGGCTGAAATCGGAGTTCGTACCATTACCCAAAAAACAAGAGTTTGTGAAGACTATAGGACCATAAGCCTAATGAGCCATCTGCTGAAGTTGTTTTTAAAAGTCATCTACCGGAAATGCGAGGAACAATTTACGCCCAATCAGTTTGAATTTGTGAAAGCTGTTGTTATGAGGGAAGCTTTATTGCATGCTTGATTGACTACAAAAAGGCTTTTGATAGAGTAAGGCATGAACAAATGATGGAAGTTCTAAAGAGGACAGGGATTGACGGAAGAGACCTAAAAATAATTAATAAAAAAGACTAAAAAATTAAATTGTGACCATAAATTATTGTTAAAAAAAATGCAAGGTATAAATACGAGTACTTTTTCATATATTCGTCATCTAATAACCCCACCTATGTCATAAAACCTTTAGATATCTGCGAACAATTTTTTGCCGTGAAATCTATAATTTTTGCATAACCAGACTGGGCTAATTCTAGACCCATTCCAGGTTTATTTTTCGTTGCAATACTATTGGAAAAGCAGCTCAAAATCTGGATTCGTATAAATGTAATTGTTTAGATGCACTTTTCCTTAGCTGTGAATAGATTATAGTACCAGATAATATGTTAATTAAATTGCATGGATCATTTAATTAATATAATAAGTATGGAAGTACTACCTACTTAAAAATACCTATAAATATACTTACATAGGTTGTTTGGTTTTTTGAATTATCGGATCATCTTCATACATTTGTCGGCGGCTGCTGTAATAATCTAAAAAAGTGAATACAGTTAATAGTACATGAATCTTTTTGGAAGAACGAAATTTTTAATAGTTACCTTCAGCTCTAGGAGGGGGAGGCCTGGGAGGATCATCTCTTCCTTTCAACAAACCATAGCCGGCTATGCTGTTCCTATTTTCTAGTTGATTGAGATTCGCTTCGGACAGAGGACCTCTGGATCGACCTCTTGGAGCAAGATTGCTCTTTTCATCAGGCAATGAATTGGGACCGCTGGATTGATCAAGTTTGTCATCGAAACCTCCATTTTGATTTATATTGGGGTTTCGCGTAGGAGGTTGAACATACAGGTTCTGATTGGAGTAACTTTGATGGCCGGAAGTCAAAAAGTCATCACCTAAAATTTAACGCCAGTTATATATTTATAATATAGGGAATACAACAGGTAAAAATCGGTCAGTGGTGGGTGAGTATCTAAAAAACCTTGTGTACCAGAAGTCTCCAACAACGCCAGATGACATGATACTATGAACTAAAGATAAACCCACGCGCACGCGATCAGTTTATCTCTTTTGCTCGTGTGACATCACTTGGCGACAAATATCACCAGAAATGTTCTGTTTTGCATGGAGTTTTGTCAGATTTAGTATTGTTTTATCGTTTATCTAGTACGTTGACAAATAAATGTGTGCACTTTATATAAAATATATTTCAGAATATTAAATTAAAGATAAATGTTTATCGCCAAGTGACGTCATGCGCATCGACGTACAAAATTCGATTGCGAAGTGGTTTTATCTTGGAAGTCATAGTATCATGGCCAGATGATATGAAAAATAGAATAAAAAAGCTTTTATTAATATTGACTTGCAAATGTTGGAAATGTGGCTTGGTGATTTGAATATCGGTTACAAACTTGTATAGACGTTGGAGAAAGACATTATTTATTGAATAAAAACAATTTTGTTATATTATTACATAAGACTTTACAAGTTATTTCTGCTTAACAAAAATTGAAGGTATTCCCGAAATAAATATGTATATCAGTGTCACTCGACACTGAGGAGTAGGCAGATTAAGACCTCAGTGCCGTTTGAGGGTTGTCGTATTTCTGGAGGACAAGATACTGGTACGTCACGAGGGAGCGGAGTAGGCAGATTGAGACCCCGAACTCGAATGGATAATGGCTCTCTCTTTTGGAGCCATTATCCCTCTTGATGATGGCTCCAAAATGGTTGCCGAAACGTCTAGTTCGAGATATTATTTAAAACGAAGGCAAATCATTTCTTCCGACAGATTGTTTTTGTTTCCATTACAATTCATGTTATCATATCAACCGATATTTCCAATTTGTTAAGTTTTTCACACTTAGGTTCTTTTTTTATTCCTTTGTGTTTAACTTTTTTTCAGTTTAATCGATATGAAAATAACTCGTTTGTCGTCCAGATCAATATTTGCCCTAGTATATTAATAATTGGCTTTTTTATTGTATCCAGGCACATCAATCATGAAATAGAAAATAGTAAGCTGTACAGACAGCAATTTCATTTAAAAGAAGCACATAAAAGCCAGTAGGTACGTTTAATTTATAAAAAAAGTTGAATGTTAGGGATTTGAAAATGTTTTTATGGATTTTAATTAATAGCAAAATATGTCATGTTTGAATTTTTATACGACATAAAATAAACTTTTATTACAACATTTTGATACCTAATTTGCATTATATGACTCTGGTTTAAGTCATAAAAACTCGTATATAATATGTCTAAAACATATTGGTGAGATAATTAAAAAACATGCCAAACAGAAGCCAGAAATAAAATTTATTGTTCAATATATATATATATATATATATATATATATATATATATATATATATATATATATATATATACACGAAATAACAAGAAGTCGAGAGACCTCTCTGATAGCAAATTAGGTGAACCGCAAATTCAAAGCCTCTTGCTAGAGGCTTTTAACGACGCTAGAAGTATCCTTTTACTTCGACATGCATCTACGATTCACCTTTGAAAATTACCATCTTTTTCGCTCTTTACGTAGAGAAAGACGTTTAAATGAAAGTAAAAGATTGCATTTCATTTCAATCGGAACTCCACCATTGCCCTACACGTGTTTCGGGTTATTCAACCCATCGTCAGGAGCACTTGTGGAAGTTCAACTGAAATTCTAGTTTTTGGTCATTATAACCAAAATAACAGCCAGGATACGCTAGCAGCGACATCTATACGAAATAACAAGAATCTTGTTATTTCGTATAGAGTCTTTTTCTAATATGTATTTTGCCTTTGGTGGAACTTTTTACTCAAAAATCTTTGTCACTCCCATAGGCTTGCTGATGAGCCCTATTGTTGCCACCATAGTTTTAGATCATCTATTCAATATTGTAATCCCACGACTACCGTTTAAGTTACCGTTCATCTTCAATCGATTCCACAAACACCTACAATTTATCGTTGAGGTTGAGCAAGAACAAAGTGTTATCTTTTTAGACACTAAAGTATAAAAACATCAGATAATAAGACCATTTTGGATTGGTATCAAAAATCAACTAACAGACTGATAAATTATTTCTCCCAGCTCTCAAAACGCCAGAAACATAACATTGTTGTTGCGAAAAGAAACAGAATTTTACACGGTAGCAATAATATTATCTTACAAAAGATTTTAAAAACATTATACAACATTTTTGAATAACGGCCATCTTATAAGTAAAATTCTCAAGCAACTTATCTATAACTTAGACTTATATGACGGGATATGTGATAACAGACCAACAGATCCCGGTATTTATAAAAAGTTCATCATCATCATATAACGGGGGTCCTACGGCGATTGCCGCTTCCCGCATTTCAGCCTGCATCTTTTCCTATCTCTCCAATCTCCCTCTTCAAGCCTCTAGATTGCATGTTTTGTAATTCTCTTCTCCAGGATTGGTGGTCTTCCCTTTTCTTCTTCTGGCGGAACATACATTAAGGCTTTCTTTGGCCACCGCTCCTCCTCCATTCTCATCACGTGACCATACCATTGTAATTGCCTTTCTTGTATTCTATCTGAAAGAGTATCTCTAATTCCTGTACGGTTTCGTATTTCCTCATTCCTGATTCTTTCCATTCTCGATACTCGACATGACCTTCTAAGATAATCCAATTCCACAACGTCTACTTTATCTCGTTCATTCTTTGTCATCGTCCAACATTCGGCACCATATGTGGTAATCGGTTCTACAATTGCTCTGTATACACGAAGTTTGGTATGCATCTTTATTTTATTAGACCACAGTAATGAATTCAGTATTCGGATGCATTTTTTCCCTTGGGTTATTCGGTTTTGTACATCTATCTTAACTCTGCCATCTGCTGATATGATGCTTCCTAGATATTTATACTGGTTGCAACCTTTTATGACTGCGTTTTCAAGCCTCAGATCTGTGGTATTTCCTCCAATTTTTAAATATTCCGTTTTGCTTATGTTTACAGTAAGCCCCCATTCGGCATATTCCTCAAATAATTTTCGATTCATATAATTTATATCTTTCTCATCGGTTGCAACCACCACCTGATCATCTGCAAACAACAATGTATACAGAGTTTCTTGTCCCACTTCGATGCCCATAAATCTACATTTATTTCTCCAATTCCTTAATGCTTCTTGAACGTATATTTTAAAGAGTGTCGGTGACAAACAGCATCCTTGCTTTAGGCCTTTAGTGACTTTAAATTCATTTGAAGTTCTGGTTCCAATTTTTACACAACTAACTGCATTTTCGTACAATTTATATATCGCTCGGATATACGTCGAATCCAATCCAGACCTTTCGAGGACCTCAAACATTGTCTTTAACGGGACACTATCATATGCTTTCTTAAGGTCTATAAATACCAAATGGGTCTCTCTACTTCTTTCGACACGCTTTTCAATTATTTGTCGTAGGATAAGGCAGGATCTCCCGGTACGAAAGCCGCTTTGTTCTTCATAATCTTGTATCTGTCTTTCAACCCTCTTCTTTAATATTCTGCCGTACAACCGGCCCACAGAGCTCGTCACACTAATACCTCTATAATTGGAACAGTCTCTTTTATTCCCTCTCTTATATATGGAGCTTATATAAGATTTATTCCAATCTTTAGGAATTTCCTGGTCTCCACACATACATTTATTAAAAAGGTCTACTATTAATTCTAAAAGTGCAGTCGGCCCATATTTAACCAGCTCTATGGGAATGTCTCCAGGCCCTGCGGCTTTTCCGTTTTTAACCTCTTTTAATGTTTCCGTCAATTCAGATAATGTTATTATAGGGATTTCCTGTCTTTCGTCTCTGTTATCTATTAATTCCCTTATCTTGTCCCATCTGTACTCTACTCTATCCTCTTTCAGCAGTTTCGTATAATATTCTTCCCATTCATTTAACTTTATGAGAGGAATGTTCTCTTCATTTTTCTCATTTTTCCTAAACTGCTTTAATGTTTTCCAAGCTTGTGCCACTTTTGTTCCACCCATAAATCTGTCCAGTTCATCACACTTAGCCTCCCAGTTTACATTTTTCACCTTATCCACTTCTTTTTTAACTTCTCTATTTTATAAAAAGTTACCCTACGTTAATGGCGTACTTAAAAGCTAACAATATAATCAAGCTGCTGAGTGAAATTCCCAAAATCGAAATGGCTAAATATAACATCATATCCAATTGCAGATTATTCTCGAAGCTTAAAGACCAAATACTGCTTCAGAGTCATCTTATTTATAAACTGTCTTGTCTCGAATGTGATGAGAGTATGTATATAGGGCAAACATTGCAGTGGTTAAAACAAAGAATAACGCAGCACAAAAGTGATTACAAAACAAAGAAAAATTCTTGTGCAGTAGCACACAATTCCAGCACAACAGGCCACACATTTAACTTAACACCTATCGATACAAATCAAAGAGATTGTTATAATAATCAGATATAAAGTTTATTAAAAAAAACTTTTTTTTTGCTATTTGTAGTTTTAGTATTAATTAAAAATACATTACCTTTGTAGAAATTGTTAACAGCTCCAGTAGTGCTAATCGAGCTTTGCGTCTGATGAGAAACGTTCGAATTAAAACCAAATTCCCTAGCTACAGTAATCTGTAATTTATCCTTAGAACTATCTATAATTTTTTTAGCCTCTTTCAATGACATCACATCGTTGCAGTTGGTATTATTCAGTTTCGTTACAAAATCGCCTATTTCTAATAGTTGGTTGGTATTCATTAATTGGTCTCTGGCTTTCGATGAAATTTCTTTGACGAACAGTTTGCAACCGAGAACTATGCCAAAATCTAAAAAAATAATAAAAACGGTTACAAATATTAGTCTGTATTCATTACTAAAAATAGAAAGATTCTTTAAATATTTCCATTGGTAATGAATATCTCCATGTCTGTCTATCCATCAGTATTTCCTGTACAAAACAACAAACGCAAATAAAGCACAATTATACGTTACACGTTACAGCAGGGGTGCTCAAACGGTCGATCGCGAGTGCTTTTTGGGTAGATCTCGAGAAGAAAAAAAATTTTAATAAGTAGGTAGGTAACTAAACTACTGTCAGCAGAGTTAAACGTTTTTATTAATACTGAACTATACAAATACATAGAATGCTTGACTAAGCATCATTGCAATTCAAAGAAGTGGGGACAACAAAATACTGTCCACACAGCATATTTTATATTTACATATATATTAACTAATTATTTTATTAATTCAATATTTATTATAATTATTAATCAAATTTGGGATGATATTCTATCAACTACAAAAATGTATTACGTAATAAAATAACACTGCTTGTGGCAAAAGGTGGCTTTATCAAAGGAACGCGCGGCACTTGTCAAAGAAAAGCCGTGTTGTTTCTAGACGAGAGACAGTACAGTCTAGTTTCGGGCGGCGCGTTTGACGGTAACATTCGAGACTTTCGTTCACGCCGATATAAATGTTGCGCCTGCAGGAATTGGAGTTATTCTGAATTGTAACTTGATAGCGATCCTACGTCGATACAAAGTTTATTATTAAATAGTGGAAAATGAGTGCAGTGAAGAAATCTAAAACGTATCATTTTAATAAGGATTGGAGGAAGAATTTTTCTTTTCTATGGTGAAGGATAAGTGCATTTGTGTTATTTGTCGTGCGTCAGTTGCAATACCTAAGCGTGGTAACTTAGAGAGGCATCATAAAACGGTTCATAAAAACTATGAAAAGGATTTTCCGCCACAGAGTGAATTAAGAAAACGAAAAGTAAGTGATTTGATATCTTGTTTGAAAAAAGAACAATCCATGTTCACAAGACCAGCCAAACAATCAAAAGCTGCTACGATCGCGTCATTTAAAATATCTCATATTTTGGCGAAACACAAGAAACCATTTGAAGATGGATCGGTGGTGAAGGAAGCATTTATTGAAGCGGGTGAGACTTTATTTGGAGATTTTAAAAATAAAACAGAAATCATGTCTGCTATTAGAGAACTTCAGTTATCTCGTCCGACTGTCACAAGGCGTATTGAAGTCATGAGTCAAGACATCGCAGATAAACTAAAACATGATATCATGGAATGTACATACTTTTCTTTACAGTTCGACGAATCCATCGATATGACAGACACTGCCCAGCTGTGTATTTTTATTCGGATGGTATTCAATGACATGTTGGCTAAGGAAGAATTTTTGACAATCATTCCTCTGAAGGGGAAGACCCGTGGCGAAGATATATATGACGTTTTCTTAAATTTTGTAAAAAACTACGAGCTACCAATATATAAATTAATGTGCATTACAACCGATGGAGCACCAGCAATGACTGGAAACAAAAACGGTTTTGTGGCATTGTGTCGAGCTAATGAAGAATTCCCTTCATTTTTTTCATTCCATTGCATTATACATCAACAAGTTTTGTGTTCAAAAGTTTTAAACACGGAGGAAATTATGGGCATTGCAACAAAAATTGTGAATTCCATCCGTGCACGTAGCTTGCAACGGCGGCTCTTTCAGTTGCAGTTGGAAGATAGGGAGTCAGCTGAACACACTGATTTAGTTCTTCACACGGACGTCAGGTGGTTGAGTCGCGGAAAATTCCTAGAAAGGTTTCAAGAATTATTGCCCGAAATAACAGCTTTTCTAGACGAAAGAGGTGATGACACTCAGATTTTGAAAAACGAAAAATGGCTAAATGATTTGGCATTTTTGACTGACATCACAATGCACTTAAACACCGTTAACTTGGAGCTTCAAGGTAAAGGAAAAACTATTATTGAGATGATTAGCGCAGTAAACGCATTCAAAAGTAAATTGCAACTTATGATAGATCAACTGAAAAGAAAGGATCTGAAACATTTTCCGTCTTTGAAAGCAAGGATTCCTCAGTTGAATTATGATACGTATGAGGCTGAATTATCAAATATTTTGGGACAATTCGAAATGCGTTTTTATGATTGCAGTAAATTGGAAAATATAGCATCATTTATGAGTTATCCTTTTTCATGTAAAAACATTGAGGAATTAGCTACTGAAATAGCAAGTCAGTTTAATATGAACTCATGTTCTGTTGAAAATGAGTTGGTGCAGATTATATCAGATATACATCTCAAAGCTACAGTATCTGATACAAATTTCTGGCGTTTTATATCTGAAGATAAATATCCGAATGTAAGGCAAATCGCCCTTCAACTGACGGCATTTTTTGGGTCAACTTACTTGTGCGAGTCTGCATTTTCTGAAATGAAGATAATTAAGTCAAAATATCGCAATCGACTAACTGACGATCATATGACATCATGCTTGCGATTAGCACTCAGTGGTTACGTACCATCTTATGAAAAGTATGCTGAGGACATGCAGTGCCACGCTTCAACATCCAAAGCCACTCCTTAGTTAAGTTTAACACCATATGTAACTCTTTTGTTTTGTAACAACAAATAAACTCGCAATTTTGAATAACTATGAGTTTTTTCATTGATATTGTAGAGAAGAACCTAACTAAACCTAACCCAAACCTTGACTAAAATAATGTACCTATATTGTGCAGAAAGCTAATATCTATATATGCTACGGTACGCCCTGTAGGTAGGTGTATCGTGTATGTACGACAACCCTGCATCACACACACTTGCAGTCTCTCAGAGTCGATCGTAAGTAGTCTAAAAATATTGAGGTAGATCGCCAGCAGTTCAAGTTTGAGCACCCCTGCGTTACAGCAAACGCAATAATAACGAGGTGCACAAGTTGACAAATTTTTGTCTCGAGTTATCGGGCTCATCTCATTGTCGAAGCCATTAGAAGCTCGGCAAAATTGATGTAATGGTGTATCTGCGAAATGTTATTGTTACACGCTATACTTGTAACAGCTAGCGCTTCATTACTAGAATGTATTGGTTCAAAAACTAGATTAGTGCAGTTGTTAAACCATTCTCTTTAGTTGATCTTTGTCCATCCTAGAGGAAAAGTATATTCAACGGGTACGAGTTAATTGTAGAAAAAATCACGAAATTTTATAAAAGATACAATATATCACAATCAGTAAAACTAAAAAGGTCTGTAGAACATATGTGACCAATTTAATTAATATGGAGGGACTAATATTAAACAAAGAGGTTTTACTTGCAGAAATATGCAAGCCACTGTGACATTTTAGCTTTACAAGAGATGCAAAGAGGGCCTAACGATAAGTGACCCAGAGTGTCTAGGATAAAACTTAAAATAGAGAGACCACAGAATCAGTAAAAAGGCGCACTGATTTTTCAGTCATATTTAGAAGTGCAATCCTCAGAGGTAATCTTGAATAATAATATTGAATAACAGTTCTAACAAGGATTACATTTGAAAAACCAGACAATTTTTAGATGTTACCAAGTTTTAACGGTGGTAGATGGAGAGAATATATACGTGACAATAATTTTGTTAGCAAGAATTGTATCTCCTGAGACAGTTACCTTTATAACGAATATTTAATTTCAAAAAGGCGAAGTGGAATTAATTATTAAAGACTTGGACACACAGGCGAACTCGGTGCAAGCTGAAGCATGCAGATAAGAATATAATTTATCAAAATCGTGAAGACAAAGTCTCTTTGTTTGTTGTTGACAAAAGTATTTTTTTTAAGAATTGTCCAGATTGTGGACGAAAATATTATACCGCAACAAGTTGGTTTCAGGCCTGGAAAGACTTTGGAAAGACCTGGAAAGGTTTTGAACTTAGGAGTACTTCGAGGTTATATTTCAGAAACGAATAAATGTTACAGCTGTATTAATAGAACCCTCCGCATTCTGTAACAGGTTTAACTCTCGCAAACTTCTTCTTCTTAAAGTGCCCTCTCCTCAATGGAGGTTGGCTACTACAATTTTAAACTCTTCTCTATCTTTAGTGTTCGTATTAGCTGTTCAAAATTTAGCCCTGTCCATTGTCGGATGTTTCTGAGCCACGATAGTCTTTTCCTTCCTAGGCCTCTCTTTCCTTCGATTTTTCCTTTCACTATAAGTTGGGCATATTGGTACTTATTATTTCTCAGTATGTGGCCTAGGTATGATGTTTTTCTAACTTTTACTGTGTTAAAAAGTTCTCTTTCCTTGCCTATTCTATGCAGCACTTCTTCGTTGAGGTATGCGATGTCCATGAAATTTTGAGTATTCTCCGGTAGATCCACATTTCAAAGGCCTCCAATTTATTTACGGTTGATGTTTTAAGGGTCCACGTTTCAACTGCATATAGAAGAGTCGACCAGACGTAGCATTTTGATAAACGTAGTCGAATTTCGAGTTTTATTCGAGAATCACAAAGCAGTTTTTTTATTTTTTCGAAAGATTTTCTGGCCTGTTCTATTCTCGATCTTATTTCTTGATCAGGATTTAGGCTGCTATCGATCCAACATCCCAGGTACTTAAATCTATTGACCTGTTCTAAGATGTGCCCATTTATTGTGCAAGGTTGAGGTACGTTTTGGTTTTTTCGGATTGACATCACTTTGGTTTTTTTAATGTTTATTTTCATACCAAATTGCTCACAGGTCGAGTTGGTCTTGTCGATGAGTCGTTGTAGACCTGAGTCGGAATCCGCAATTAACACTGTATCATCGGCGTATCTGATACTGTTGATATTTACGCCATTCACCTTGACTCCATCCTTGGAATCCTCCAATGCTTCTTTAAATAGAAACTCGGAGTAAAGATTAAACAGCAGAGGCGACAGAACACATCCTTGTCTAACTCCCCTCCTAATTTCTACTTCTGCGGATGTGGAACCTTCGATCCTAACTCTGGCGTTTTGGTTCCAGTACAAGTTTTTTAAGAATTTGATGTCTTTTCCATCTAAACCGACTTCTTGCAAACGTTCTAATAGTAGGTCGTGTCTTACTCTATCAAATGCTTTTTCGAAGTCTATAAAGCATATAAATATATCTTTCTGTTGGTCGTAGCATTTTTGGGCGAGAACTAGTAAACTGAACAGGGCTTCTCTCGTTCCCATGCCGGCTCTGAATCCAAACTGATCGTCTCCGATGATTGTTTCGCACTTTCTATAGATACGATTATGTACGATTTTTAGTAGGACTTTTACTGCATGACTCATAAGGCTTATCAGACGGAACTCATTGCAGTGTTGTGGGTTTGGCTTTTTTGGTAGTGGGATGAATATTGACTCCAGCCAATCTTGGGGTATTTTACCTGTATCATAAATGCGATTGAATAAAAGGACAAATAATTCGATATTTTCTTCGCTGATTAATTTGAACGTTTCTGGGTATATTCCGTCTGGACCTGGGCTTTTATTTGTTTTGAGATGATTAATTGCATTTATGATTTCAGATTTCAGAATTGTTGGCCCTTCGTTGTTATTTTCCAATCTTGGTTCTTCTCGTATGTCGTGAAAAAGAATTTTAATATAGTTTTCCCATTCTTTCAGTTTATCTTCCGTTGATTCTAGCAGTTTGTCATCCGTGTTCAGCATGGTGTGAAAAATCGTTCTCTTGGTAGTCGATGTAAACTCTTTTACCTTTTTATGTAAATTAAAAAAATCGTGCCTTTGTTGCAGTTCTTCTATTTCAACGCATTTTGTTTCCAGCCATTTCTCTTTTGCTTCGGTTATTTTTTTTTTCGAATTATTCTATTTAGTCTTTTGTATTCTCCGTCCTTGTCATTTTTCCTTTAGATTCTCTTCGTTTGTTCATTAATTGTAAAATCTCTTCTGTCATCCATTCCTGTTTGTTATTTCTAGGTGTTACTTTTAGATGTTTTTCCGTTACATTGTTCATTTGTTCTTTAATAGTTTTCCACAGAACGTTTATGTCATCGTACTCGCTAATTCTATTGTGGTCGATATTTCCTAAATTTTTGTTTAATTCTTTATTTACTGTCTGATGTATGGTGTCGTTTTTCAATAATTGGATGTCTAATAGTTGGTGTTGAGGTTTTTGTTTCTTTATTAGTTTCCATCTTGCGCGAACTTTTGCAACAACAGGATTATGATCGGAATTGATGTCAGTTCGAGGATATGTTTTTGCACTGATGATTGCATTGTGATATCTCGCAAACTACTTGTCGATATATATCTAGAATCTAGACTATACAAATGTCCACTTTAAAAGCATAATCAAGGATATGCTGCAAGAATATCAAGCATTGGCACTTTATTTTACAACAGGCGAGTATACTGCTCTAGTATGGGAGGCTATGCGAGTTGCTCTAAATCAGTCACTGATAATTGTTATATACCAGCTGCAATAGCTCTTGACATGTTAATGGTTGTCTGTCTGACGTTACTTTGTTAAATTTTGCTTTATTTGTATATCGACTGGTACTGGTTTTTCAAAATAAAGATTACTGATATACCTACTATAATTTTATCCATGGATGAAATCCTTTCATCCCTTTTTTACAAATATTGGATAAAACTTTGGAGGTACATTAAAAATCAAAATAACTGAATTTGTATTGAGTAAATACCTATAAAAATATACCGTACAGGAGACTAAAAGATTTTAGTTGGCAGACATATTAAATTACATAAAAAATACCTTACCTTCTTTTTTGGAATTTTTGGTAAGCGTAACTTTGGTAGATAGCGAATTTGACCCCAAGGCAGCCAGAGGAGGGCCGTTAAAGGATGAGCTGTGAGTATGACTGTGTTGAATTGTTCGCCGTTTTATCACTAACGTTACTGTATCACCCGAATCTCTAAGGACTTGCACCGCAGTGGCGTAGTCGACGTTCTGGAGGGATATGCCATTGACAGATATTATTCGGTCGTTGACTCTGAAAATTGACATATTGTTAGTTAATTTCATACATAAATAAGTTTTGTTAGATGTAATTTCTGAAATTTCGACAATTGTATTGAGAATTACATCGTTGCGTTTGGGTGTCAAAGGTAACATGCTATATTTTATTCATAATTTTTTTAACAAGAGACAATTTAAAGTTAAGATAAATCATACAATATCCAGCACTAAGGACCAAACAAATGAAACACTTCAAGGATCCGTTACTAGTTCTTATAGTCCATTTCCATCATATTGATAGCACATTATGTATGCAAATCCCTAAACTGTTGATACGGGTGACTCAATGAAAAATAGATATTTGTCAACAAGTTTACAGAAGTATATAGGAAAACAATTTTAAATTGAGTATGACCACCAGGTATAAAGGTTGAAGCAGAATAGAATACAATAGTTTTGAGGGTTACTAATCCCTAAATAAAGTTGCCAGTGTCGGAGTGATGGAGATTAACAGGTACTAATGAATTTGCAAGAAATGTAAGATGTTTATTTTATTGTTATATATAAAATAATTTGTGGCCTAACAGGGCCGATTTGTAAAAAAATATTATTTTAATCAAATTCCATTTCAGATTCACTGCTTTCTTCAGAATCTAAGGAATCTTCAACTCCAATGTTAATTATTACCGGTTCCAGCATTGCATCAGTCATATTATCCAAATTCCACATTTTATTTTCTTCCTTGTGAGCATGACTAACAGCATTTTTCCAATTTTCTGGAGTTACTTTTGATAAGGAATGTTCTAATAATTGTTGTAAGTCTTCTAATTTAAAAGTTTTGTTGTTGCGTCCGACTTCACCCTTTACTTGAGACCATATATTTTCTATCGGATTCAGATCACAGTGGTATGGGGGTAAACGTAAAATAATTACATCACGGTTTAATGCCATTTCATCAATTATATATTTTTTATAAGCTGCTTTATGTTGCCTTACAATAGGTAATAATTCCTTTTTGTCGAATTCTCCTTGTACTCAATTGCGTGTTTATCCAACCATTCGATTATCTCTCCTTTTTTCCATGCCGTTGTTGGCAATTTTTCTGCTAGTCTTGAATGGTAACTAGCATTATCCATGACTATGACAGAATTTTTTGGAATTAAATCCAACATTTGCTCAAAATATTCTTCAAAAACGTCAGCAGTCATTTCCTCGTGGTAATTTTTGGTTGATTTTGAGGCAAAACTTAATAATCCACCATTGACAAAACCGTATTCGTTTCCAATATGGGTTATTATGAGTCTGCGTCCTTTTCCAACGGGAATATTGTTTATTCCAGTAGATACACCTTCGATGAATGCCTGACGGGAACTTTTCACATTTGTATCAACCCATAGATATGGTACAGTTGACCTTCATTAGCCAAGTCTCGTCCAAATAAAAAATTGTTTTCCCTTCTTCTCGGTACTTTTTAATAGTTCTTAGATAATCTCGTCTCCAACATACAATGTAATCTTTTTCAATTAAAACGGATTTTCTTCTATTCTTTTGCCAACGAAATCCCATCTCTCTCAATAGTCCCCATAATTTCTTGTTGCTTATGATTGGTAACTCTTCGTTTTCTCTAATTAATGTTTGGATTTTGTCCAATGTTGGAAATTCTTTGTTAAAAAAAAATGAGTGGACGCTGCGTCTTATCATGTTTTTATGTATTTCTTCAATTTCCAAGGTTTACTCCCTCCACTCTTCTTGGGAGATGAAACAGTTCCTCCTTTTCTTTCTTTTAGGAATCTATAAATTGTTGCTTCTCCAACCCTGTCATATTTGAACACATGTTAACGATTTCACGAACATTACTTAAAGGGCGTTGATGTACAAGTGCATCGTGTACATTTAATATTATATTTTTCTCTCTTAGACTGAAGGCACCTTTAAAACTACACTTAACCGGGATAAAACCTGTTGTCGACGTCATTTTTAAATGCAAATAACAAAATATCGACACCAAAAACGTAGGTAGGTAAGACATGAACAATGTACATCTACAAACTAAATGAAGATGCAAACAATTTCTAATTTATATTATTGGCATAAGCTGTAATGTGCATAAAAACTACTTAAACTATCATTAGTGAAGCCTTATCAGTAATTCCAGGTAATCGTTCAAAGAAGGTATTCTTTTTGTGTCAGGCGATAACTTGTATAGAAAACAATAATCACCTTTAAATTACTGTTTACATTAATTTATTTCGTGAAACATTGAATTCTCTCGTTAATCACCCGTGTATAATCGTGATACAAATAAAAACAGATAAGATACCGCGCATGTGGGCGTGGCTTATGCATGACTTTTGTGACGTCAACTTGTGCTAAATTTCGCCATATTGTGTTTTGACGTTTATGTACATTTACGGTTTATAGCCAATATTTAATAAAATAATATTTTAAAAGTGTTACAAGGCTTTAAATTTTTCCCGATATGAGGTGTGCAGTGTATGGTTGTGCCATTGACAATATGTGCAAGAGTTTTGTACCCGGTACAGCATTTTATAGCTTTCCAAAAGACAAGGAAATGCAAGCTGTTTGGAAACATTTGTGTAAACGCCAGGATAATTTTAATGTTAAATTTGCTCGTGTTTGCTCTAAGCACTTTGTTGAAAGTGATTGAAGTGATGAATAAATAATGAGTAAACTTAAGTACATATATAATAACATCTTTAATACTACATATTGAGTTAGAACTGATGAAGCTTTAGAAGTTTAAAGCAAAACGTCTTCTATAAACTTATAAAGTAGTTGACTTCTGTTTTATATTTTGCCAACCTGAATGACCGATTAACCTCTGAATTCACTAGTTGAATAATTTATTAATATATATATATATATATATATATATATATATAGTAAACTCTTAAATATTGGGGAAATCTGCAAGATTTTGCAGATTTCCCCAATATTTAAGAGTTTACTATTTAACTTATCTGCAAAGATTAAATTTCTTTTCTATATATATATATATATATATATATATAATATATATATATATATATATATATATATATATATATATATATAATATATATATATATATATATATATATATATATAGTTGGGAGATTAAATAGTTATAACCATATTTTAGCATATCCTGAAGAAGCGAATAAAGTTTGTGAAAGCTAAATAAAAGAACAAAGAGTTTTACTTATTCTGCCCTATTAATGACTGCAACCTCAAAAGAAATAGTTTACCTAACGTGTCAGTCAATAATACCTAACTACTATATATAAAATATATATTGTATAAAAATCACATTCCATAGTTTGCAATTTGTGGCATTCGGCCATGGCTCCCTCCACCAAACTTCACTCTTATGGGAAAATTGTTATTTTTTACAATATACTAATTTAAATACTTAAGCTTAAATTCACGTAGTAAATAAAACATTTAGTAAATTATATTAGAATTTCAACAGTTCGTTTCATCCGCAAGCATGAATACATTTTGAAAATTTAGCACAAGGTGACGTCATGCGCGTGAGTGTACGCGTTTTGTGCGTGGCAACATCATATCTGGTATCCTTATATCATGGTGTATATTTAACAATAATCGTGTGGCATATATATCGACGTTTTTTACGCACAAAAAAGGTATAGTGAGCTTAGTGGACACTTATTTTACAGAAGATTTTTTTAAAATATAATGAATTGTTGACGGCATCTTAAAATATTAATTTTTTTTATTTATTTCAAAACAAGTATAGGGTGACGCCTATGGTTTTTTGACCTGTTGAGGATTTGCATACATAATGTGCTATCAATATGATGGAAATGGACTATAGTACTATTTTTATTAGCGATAAACAAAATTCCAAAACTTGTTAAGGCGCTATTATACTCTGATGATTTGGATCTTCAAGAGGAAAAATATTCTTTATTTACAAAAAAACTTACAATGTGCTATAAATCACCTTGAAAAATGGTCAAAAGGTGTGGGATTGCAATTTTCTATAACCAAAACCAAATGTATTTTATTAAAAAAAAAACGGCGCCCTACAAATCCAGATCTTCAGTTAGGTATATGGCAACAACTTAACTTATGTGGAATACTTAAAAATTTTATGCAAAAATTAAGCATATTATGCAAATTAAGCAGTCTTGTCAATCTGGTCTCAATTTAATGCGAACACTGTGCAATCGTAATTGATATTTCGTAATTCATATTTACAAATCACTTGTACGATCAAAACTAGATTAAGGATTAGTTGTATACTCATCTGCAAAGAAGATTCTTCTTGCTCAACTAGAAATTATACAAAATACAGCACTAAGAATAGCTACAAGAGCATTTTGTACTAGCCCCATTAAAGGCTACAATGTTTAACCGGGGAACCACCTTTAAATTTTAAAAGAATGTCATTAACATATGCATCATCCATATGTGCTATAAAATCGCATCCCACTTTCCATCATGCTATTGCTGAACGTTTCAAAGAAACTTATAAGAATAAAAAAAGAACGAACCCTCCCTTTTAGAGAATCAGAAGATATCTCTCTCTCCATAATATTCAATTCCCAAAATTTTTTGATCAGACAAAAACAGTCACACCCCCCTGGACATTTCCTCCTGCAATATGTGATCTAACTCTTTCTAAATACAATAAGCTTGAGATCCCCCATTCAACAATATTATTCAAACATTTTACAACATACTAGCTTCTTTCCCAGATCATTGTCATATCTATACAGATTCGTCCAAAACTATTGCTGGTGTGGGATCAGCAGAACTCCGTACATTGTATTACATTTAAATTATCTTCCAGTTGCAGTATTTACTCTGGAGAATTATACTCAATTCTGCAAGCACTTCTTTTATATACGTACCCAAAAAATTACAAATTCTGTCATAATTACCGACTCTTTCAGAGCATTACATACGATAGAACAGTTGTGTATACAAATAAATCCATAGGTACTTTAATAAAAGAACAATATCATTTGCTAAACAACGCGAAGCAGCAAGTAAGCTTTATATGGG